AACAGGTCTATCAATACTCGCAACTCAGGTCTAGGGGGGGTAGGTCTCTCTCTCTATCTCTCAGGTAGGTATGGGTCCTGCAAGTACAGTGCTGATACTCTGTCTAACCTCCAACTAACTGTCTGTACAGTTGTCACGGAAGAGTCCGATACAAATATAAAAGGAAAGTCACATGCGTGAATGAATGAAAATAGTAAGGAAAATAAAGAACAAGTCATATCTCCTCAACCACTCCGCCAAATCCGACGATCTTGGACTCGTCAGAACCACCTTTACAGTCTCTACAACTCCTACTATTACCACGACTCACCAATCCTAGTCCCTGATGCAGTAGGGGGTGAAGTGTGTGATAAGTGTTGATTTAACCTGCATGGACTTGTCCCCACAACAATGCTCCCTGTACTTTCCAGCGCATGTTGACCTGGGAACTACAAGGAGAAGTAGGCAGATGCCTACATGTCTGGTTCAACGATATATTCACCAGCACAAGCTCAGTGGAGAACCACAATAAAGCATTATTGTGGTTGTTCACTTGCCTCAAGGGGGCAAAGTTTTATATAAGAAAATTCCAGCCATTCGCTCCAATCCTAGACATTCTAGGAAGCTGTGTGGATGAACAAGGCATCCATGCTCAAGTGGATAAAATGGAAAAAATCCACAACTGGTGAGATGTCAGGGCCCAGCCTCGGACTCGGAGGCTCCCTGATGTCAGGGACAGCTCTGAAAGCGGCGAGGTCCCAGCGTGAGGGACTCAATGGGACAGGTGTCGGCTATGCGTAGCGACGGTCCCATTGCAGGGTGAGCGTCCCCGACCACTTAGTCTGAAGTGGGAAGTTGGTTATCATTAAAAGGGGGGAAGCTACAGTACTTACCTGAAGTGGGAAGTTGAGAAGAAGGCTGCTTCTTCTGTTCCCACCCCAGGTGCTATTATATACATGTGGTCAGGGTCATGTGGGAGGAGCCACATCATCCCTGCACACAGCCACACTCCCCTGGGTATCTCCGTGGGAGATCCCGGAGGTGTGCTGCTCTGTGAGCAGGAATGCGCACAGCGGGCATGGCGATCGGGGGAGCGGGGTTAGGCATGTTAGTAATACATAGAGAAGGGGAAGTCGACCATGGAATGGAAATAGAAAGAAAGAAGGAAAGGGGAAAGAAGAAACAAAGGGTGATAGCGGGAAAGCGGAGTAGGGCGGCGCAGCGTGGGGTCAGGTGGGGTGTGCCCTGACACCTGACCTCAACCCCCATCTGACCTGTCCTCACACTATGCAGGGCATGAGATGAGAAGAAGGGTAAAGGTCTCATCTCCCCACATGGTTGCTATATAAAGGAATGGGTCACATGCCCACAACTATACAGCTCCTATTGTGTAGCTTTCCCACTGGGTTTTGGTGCTGGCTGGGGAATTTGTTGAGTTTCAAGGGACTTCCCTTGACCATTGTGACTTTTATATTAGATAGTTAGAAGTCATATGATGTGTAAGGCAGATGCCGAAAAATGTTTTCATATTATCGAATACATAACCCAAAAACCTTGTACCGCAATTGTAACATCCTCACCATTGTGCCACCACTGTAAACTCAACCTGTAACCTTGGAACCATGTCCACCTCCCTATTCATCCTCTCCATGACAAAACCGCAACGAGGAGGGCATTCCCACGCCCAACCTCCTGCTGCCCGCTCCCACCAGTCCACCGGGTGGTTGAGCAATCACTCCCATCCAACCGGAAGTTCCCTATCAGGAACTGTAGCCTATCCCACCTCCTTAGGAGAGGGATATGGTCCAGGCAGCTCCAGGATACCTGGCCACACACCCATGGGTCCCACTTCCCACGGTCACCCACTACCGTGCACTGGTCCACCAACCCGCTTTCCCCAACAACTCCTGCTACCGGTACGCTCCCATGAGCACCAAGTCACCGATAGCCACCATCTGGGTGACTCCCTTTGGGAGTCCCAGTATCCCTCACTACCGGCACGCTCCATTGAGTGCCAAGTCACCGTTAGCCAAACACCTCCAGCACACCCGCTACTGGCACGCTCCCAGGAGCGCCAAGTCCCCGTTAGCAGACAGCCAGGTGGCTCCCTCAAGGAGCCCTCATCATACTCGCTACCGGTACGCTCCCAGGAGCGCCAAGTTACCGTTGGCCAACCCACAGGTTGTACTTCCGTACACTCATCCTATTCCACTCTCCCTCCGATGGCTACGCAGCCACCTCCATCAGTGAGTCGAACGGCTCAGGTTGGGTTCCCTGGAACCCATTCCCGTAACACTTAGCATGGAGGGACCTTGGCCTCAGCGACTCAAGCGGAGCGCTGTGCCATTGCTGTTTGTTCATTTGGTCCTTAATTTCACAGTAGGTGAGCAGGAAGTCTCTAGGGGGCATTTCAGGTCGATTTCGGACTGAGCCAAAATGAGTATGTACAAGCGCCGATATAATGGAGGGGGCAAAAGCACAAGGAAACAAAGGGGAACTGAATCGGAGCGAAGACGTCCAAATGGGGACAAAGGGTAGATGAGGGGAAAACGCGAGAGATACATTACAGGCAGCGAAAGTGCCGAAGGCGATCCACGAAGCTCGGAGGTTGCGGAGCTTATGGAGGTTACGGGGGCGGGGTTGAAAGTCCGAGGAATATTGGCAATGGTGTTTACGTAGTATGAGGTCACCAATGCAATGGACTAAGACCGAGGTGGAGTCAAAGTCCAAGGTAGGGACTATGACGGAGGCTCGGAGCAAAGGTACGAGCGGTGCCCAAGTACAAAGTACGGGACAGCGGTGGAAGGTCGTAACTTGGCAGGAGGTCGGCAGAAGAGTACCAGAGGGAGGAGAGAGGAGAAAGGTAAGGGAGAAGGAGTGGTGGAAAGGGGAGTTGTCAGGTCCGAAGGTGAGTATTGGAGCAGATGGGGGAAGCGTAGGAGGGTGATGGGAGGGTGGAGGTGTTGTGAAGGAGGAGCGGAGTAGGAGGAGGAGGAGTAGTAGGAGGGTGGCGAGAGGGGCAGTGTTCGGTCTGAGGTGAGTATCGGAGTGGACAGAGATAGGGGAGGAGAGGGAAGGAGGAGTAGAGGTTGCATGGGAGGTAGAAGGAGGTGTGTTGCCAGAACCGAAGGTGAGTATCGGAACGGACAGCAGTAGGATAAGACTCCGGAAGGTGGAGGAGGAGGAGGTCCGGAAGTCGGGTTGGGATCAGGTATGCACGGATATGACAATAGAGGTGCTTGTCCATACAGTCATTCACCCCTCAATGAGACACACCCCCCAATGATAAATCACCACATAACTTCCGAGCCCCCCCACCCTTTGTGATGAGATTTGGCATGTATATAAGTCGTTGCTAGGACTACTTATGTACCGAGTTTGATGTCAAGCAGGCAAGAAGTAAAGGAAAAAATCGAGGAAACATAGGGAACTTGGGTGTGAGGAGTCACCGTGCTTGCAACTTAACCACTCCAGTTTCATTGCTCTCTTCATCTTACCAATAGCTAGCCAGACAGCTAGTGAGCAAAAGGCCAGTGTTACATGTGCCAGTATTTGTTTGTTTTGATGAGACACGGAACCTAAGTCGGAAGCATGTTTTCATCTGTTACCCGAACAATCTGTAAATGAAATCACCATGCCCACAACCCCCAACCCCAATATTGCTCTGCTTGCTTCTTTTGACAAATGGTCCGGCATGCCAACTCTTTGGAGCGCTGTAGGCAGCTTGCAGCTGAGGCAGCAGAGCTGCACATGTGGAACACCGTCATTTCATATAGATCTCAGGTCCTGGATGCAACACAAAATCACAAAAAAGCTCCCAGCACCAGGGAACATGCTTCTAATTGTGATGTTTCCTATTCTACATTCATGCGGAGGCTGAGTGGTGGGAAAAGTCGGCTTGAGGCCTCAATAAACTGGTCGTGGCTGAATCAGATTGAGAGTGACACCCTGGTGGAATTCCTTCTCCTTATGTCTGACCGTGGATTCCCTGCTACCTGTGATCGTGTGAAGGAATATGCCTTGGAAGTTGCCCAGATACGCCACCCAAACCTTACTGGGCTCGGTAAAAATTGGGTTGATGGGTTTCTAGTATGCAACAAAAACTGACTTGATGCCAAGTGGAGTACCAACCTTGAAAGTATTCGGGGTGGTGCTGTAAATCCTGCAGCTGTGCGACACTGGTTCCAGCTGTTACAAGCTCAGTATGACCATTTCAAATTTAGACGTGAGGATATCTACGCAATGGATGAAAGCAGCTCCCCATTTGGGACAGGACAAAAGGCCAAAGTCATTGCATGCAAGATGACAAAAATAGCACACATTCAACGTGATGGGAACTGCGAGAATGTGAGCGTGATTGTAACTGTCTGTGCAGATGGCACTTCAGTGCCTCCAGTCGTCATCTTTAAAGGGCAGAATGTGAACTCCAAGTGGTTGAAGGACAATCCTTTGGAGGCCGCATGAGTTTCTTATCCATAATATCACTGCACATGCTTATACTTCCACTTTCTAGGGTCACTGTTTCAGAGAAAGGGTGGACAGACAATGAGATTGGCCTTGATTGGCTTCAAACTCTTAATGCTGCTACACAGGGAAAAGCTGCTGGCCACCCCCGTCTTCTCATAGTGGATGGACATAACTCGCACTACAGCCTTGACTTTATAACCTATGCACGCAACCACAATATCATCATTATATGTTATCCTGCACACACAACTCATGTCCTTCAAGGACTCGATGTCGTCGTATTCTCCCTCTTGAAGCGGAGCTTCTCTAAACAACAGGACGCATTCAACTTGCAGAATTACCCCAAAAAACTGAACAAGTCATCATTCTTATCGGTCTTTGGCCACGCATGGATGGAGGCTGTGAACTCAACTCACATTATCACCAGTTTCTGAGTGACTGGTGTCTACCCTGTTAATCCATCTGTCATCCACCCTGAACAACTTGCTCCAAGCATTGAAAATTCCACCCAGGGAGACCTTCCCCTCCCTGTGACCTCACCTGTTAAGCGCATTATGCACTTTCATGGTCAGCTGATGGCCCATGTGTACCAGCGCGATGATACCCCCTCACCGATGGATGACTTGCAGGATGTTCAGATGTACCTAGGGGGTCATGATGGAACATACAGCGAAGTGGATAATAATGAGTGTGACGGACCAATCATTAATCCCTTATTGTTTGCTGTGTCTCAGACAATACATGTCCGCACACCACTGCAACCTTCTGGCTCAGATGCTGCAACAGTCAATGCTTGTTGTCAAACTCCTATCTTCCCTCCTTCCTACTCTCAGGCAAAGAAGCGCGCTGTTGATGACCTGGAACATATCATGTCATTCTCCTCATCCTCAAATTCTATCGTATCTTCCTCACCTCTTTGTTCAACCTTTAAACTACCCGAACGTGCATATGGGCACCTCAGCGATCTTCCTCCTATCAATTGGGATCTGATACATGATCACAACTCAGAGCACAAGACTCACCCTGAATTGATGAAGGAGATCAATGAAATGCGACACGAGTTTTGGAAGGCAAAGACACTGGTAGAAAGAGCCGTTAATGTGGTGGATGCAGCAAATGCCCAGTTGGCATTGGGAGGAATGTATGTGTCTAAATCACAGACACAACTTCTAGCATGGGAGGAATTGGAAAAGTCAAAAGAGAAAGAGGAGGGTGGATGTATCAAGGGAATGTTCAGCCACATTGTGACACATGAAGGTTTTTTGAGGGATCAAGCTGAGCGCACTCAATGGAGGCTGGATGAGGCTGAGCTGGAGAAGCTGAAGGAGGAGGCCAAGGAGGGATGGAGAAAGTTCAATGAGACACAGAAAGCAGAGGTGGCAAAATGGCAAGAGGAAAAAGCGTGCTTAGTTGCGCTCAAACAAAGAGTGCTGGCAAAGCCATCGGAAATCCGAATGAGGGGTTGGATGGCTCAGAATTATCCACAGCTCCAGCAGAACAAGCCCCCTGCAATGCCGGAGGTGCCAGGGTGTGCTGAACAAGTGGCTGATGGGGTCAGCGGGGGTCCAACATGAGCGTGTGAACACACTGTCACACTCTGTCACAGGATACCACTGAGGGGTGAAAGCGCCCATTTCATACTCACTCCCATACTCACTTCATGACAGGACTCCACTCAAAATATTGCTGGCCACTGATTCATATTTACGTTCTTCATGTTATTCAAATTTATCAATTTTTTTCATGGAACTTCGTTACACTGAGGCCCAGATTAGTGAAATCTGCACCATTGGGGGGTGAATGAGTGTATAGTAAATAATATGGTGAAAATCCTGTAGCTTTATGCATTGTTACTCTATCCACCCACATAGCATAATAAAACCATTCAGACCATTTGTTTCTGTTTTGTCATATCCATCCCCGGCCATCGACTTCCGGTCCCTCCGATCCCTCCATTCTAACTCCGCTCCTCCCTCACCAACCTCGGAGCCCCCATATTCCGCAAACCTCTCGGTACCCCTCAATGGTCACCACCCCCTCATTTCAATTTATTACCTACGCCTCCCTAAGTACGGAGCCCTGAAGACTTCCGGACAGCTCCGACGTCCGCTAGCACACCCCCGCCTCTGCTGGGCAATACACTCGCCTGCCCTGCAGAGCCCACCTTCAGGCCTATCCCTCCTTTCTGTTTCTGGGTTATCGCCTGCCTTTCCGCTAACCCCGCGAACCGACTCGTTGGTAATATTCAGTCGGCTAAAGGTTAAACCCTGTTAGCTCCACTCCGTTGGCTCCGCTAATTGCGGAACCGTCCCCACTGTAACCATATATATATCCCACTTGTACATAGGTTACGCCCCAGTAGTAAAATCAACTAGAGTTACCCCCCTAGGTTCTATTGCCAGTCAGTAAGTTAGGGCATGGACGTGTCACTAGGCACAGCGCTCTTGGCAGAAGTCGCTGAGGCCAAAGCCCTCCGTTATGGAGACACTCCTTCATCTCGAGTCTGGTCTCTGACATGTTTCCCTTGCAATTCTTCCAAATTGCATCTAGCCAATACCTATGTCCTACTTCTAGCATTCCATTTGCCCCCAGGTTCTCTGCAGAAGTGTGAATTACCGGAACTTTACTAATGTTTGAACTGCATCCTTGAATTCCAATCCATTGTCTGTAGTTATTTGTGGAATACAGCTGAATCAGCACATTATGTCCTCGAAAATAAACCTTGCTATTCCGATTGAGCTTTTGTCATACAGCATTCACACTTCAAGCCAACCTGACAAGTCGTCTCTGGCATCCACTATATAATTATACTTCCGGCTCTTTGGCATATGGACCGTGTCCAATGCAAATTTCTTCAAAATTGTTTTTACATACATTGGTCTTATTGGAATTTTGGGCCTGTAATTAGATCTAAACTGGCATTCATGGCATGTTTGGCAATACCATTCCACAAATGTGAACATTCGTGGCCACCAGACTTTATCTGCTAAATTCTTATAGGTCGGGAGCTTTCCCTGATGTCCGGTCTCGTCATGCACTTGCTTGCATAGATCCCAACACTTCTCTAAGTCTTCTATTACCAAAAGTGGTGGTTGTACACCGTTTCTTCGCCAGAGTCTTGAATCTCCATAGTAGAATTTCTTGACCTGCATCAGGACTCTCCTACGCTCCATAGCTCCTTTTGGTAATTCCATAGTTGTCAGGTATTTCTTGATTGGATCAAAAAAATCCGCCTCTTTCTTTAAATCCACAGGCTGTTCCCTTAGTGATTTGGGTTGTTTTTCCGGTTTAATTTGACCTTCCATGTATCCTACCCATCTTAACCAGTTAAGAGGTTCCACACCAGTATTAGATATAACTGTAGGGTTTTTCCATCGTACTTCCACTGGTAGACATTCCTCTTCTCCTGAGTCCATCTTTGCAATATGTTGTATTATCCATTTCTGTTCATTCTCCCAATCTAATTCTTCCTCATTGCTTGAATATTCCGATTCCGAGTCTGCCTCATATTCCTCTTCTGAGTTTTCTAAATCCATGTCATAGTCTTCTTCCTCTGAAAATTCCCCATCCTCTTCTTCTGAAGCTAAATCCTGTTCTTCGTAGTAATACCATCCTGCATTAATATCCCTAGCATATTGAAATGCGTCATCTTGATCCATTTCCCTGTCAGACTCCTTGGAATCCTCTTCCGAAGGTCTTCTTCATCCAGACCTTTGTGTTGGGTTGCCGGAACGTGTTCCATTTCAAAATTAAACAAGTGTAGATAGGATACCCATCTTGTCATGGGCACATTTGGCAGATCCGGGTTATTTACCATCTGGATTACCGACCTTGCGTCCACCTTGATCCGAAAATGGTATCCCCACAGGTATCATCTGCATGCTTTGACTGCCTGAAATACTCCGTACAGTTCCAATTTGGGTTGAGAATAATGGGATTCCATTTCATTGAATGTTCTAGACCCAAATTCTATCGGATATTCTATTCCATCCTCCAACCTTTGGAATAACACCCATCCTACACCACTCTGCACACTATCTACTGCTAATGTGACTAGTCCTTCATCTGATTCTCTGTTTTCCTTGCATTCCACTTGTCTTGCTAATTCTAAACTTAATGGCCTTAATGCTCCTACACCCAATGCTGCTTCCTTCAATATATCCATTGAGTCTTGTGCTTCGTCTGTCCATTGGAAGTCCTCATCAGCTCCCTTCCTTGTGTACATAGTCAACGGCTTAGCTATTTTAGCAAAATCTTGGATCCATCGGCACACAACTCCAATGGTTCCTAGAAATCTGCATACTTCCGAGATGCTCTGGCAACTTTCCCATTTAAGGATCTTGGATAGGGTACCGTGACTTATGATTTGTCCAATTATGGACACGTTTCTTCCTACTAATTGTAATTCGGGGTTGCTAATACAAATTTCTTACCTGAAATAGTAACTCCGCTGATCTCGATTCTCGTTAGTAACTTGTGTAGCGATTGTGCATATTCCCAAACAAATTGGCAGATTTTGGGGTTCTTGGGGATGGTCTCTCCCTGGTACAGGGTTGGAGGTCCCTTGAGTGCGATTTCATCAACAAACACCCCCGCTCTGTCTGCCATTCCCTTTATTATATGATAAGATCTTCTACAAAATTCAATTACTGAGTTCATGAATCCCTGCAGGAGACATGTGAGCTGCTGCAGACCTAAGGAAAAGCTGTCAAGTGACGGCTTTCAGGAGCTAATGTGCATGCATCATAGCCAGAGTAAAGATTGGTGATCCCATAAGTTGAATGACCTGCAAATTGTTCTGCGAAGTCATCAACACACAGTGGCAAGCTGGCATCTTTGATGGTTTTGCTATTGAGCTTCTGTAGATCATGTACTAGTCTATAAGTGTTATCTTTCTTTTCTACTACGAATATTCTTGATCAGTATGCCGACTGCAATGGCTCGTATACATTTCCTTCTTGATGTTCCTCTATTAAATCTACTATTTTCCCCTCCATTGCCAACAGGAATCTGATTGGTTTCTCCTGCCATGGATCATGCTTAACTGTACATATCACATAGTCAGGAAAATATTCTCTATTAAACACTCCTCGCTCTTTACTAGAATAGGCAAAGGCATTTGGGTGCCTGCCTACTATATAAACCAAAAGATCAACCTCTGTGGTTTGGAGAAACCCTTTAGGTATAGTGTCTATCATGGCCTGGACTCGTTCGGGTGTAAACTTTTCAGTGTATTTAAAGTTCTCCACCGATATTGGCGTAAATGGTATTGGCTTGATGTAGTCGATCACAATTTCTTTATATTGGGGAATTGGAGCGGTTGGATCCCCGACAGAGACAGGCTTCTTTTTCTGATCTACCCATTTGTACTTAGCTGCTTCTACCACCCTCGCTATATCCTTGGCAGCTTCTCCAGCCTTGGTTGCTGTTAAACCTCGTGTTTCTAGTAGCCAATGAATAAAATATTCAAATCTCCATACTGGTTCTAATCCCGTTAAATCCCATACTTGTTGTAACACTCCAATATATTCTGTATTCCCTCCACTCTTTATTATTTCTGGATTTATCAAGTCATTGGCTGGCATGATTAGCTTGGATTCCGTTCCTGCCAGTCCAAGTGACTCATATAACAGGTTGCCTATTCTAGGCACAGCTGGGATTTTATCTTCTTCTGCTCGTTTTGAGCAAGTAATTTCTGATCTTTGTCCATCTATTATTCCCTTGTATGGTACTTCGATGTTTAGATATGCCCTGCTAGATGAATAACATTGCATAGGCACGGATTGTAGATTCCTATTGTCCAATACTCTTGTGACTACTACCTTAATTGAAGGTCCATCTTTTCTCCCTGCTACCCAGGCTTGAGCTACCATTCCCTCGCCCGGTGTATATTCTATTTTCATTGTATGGTAGTCCATGAACAGTTGTCCTAATACTACCTTCCATTCTCCTATGGTATCTCTGCTCGTAACGAAGAAGTTATGGTCAAATCTGACCCCTCCGATGCTGATGGGAGTCTCCCTGCATATTCCTAATAGACCAACAGGTGATCCGTTGATTCCCTTCACTTGAAATTTCCAGTACTTCGTAGTATCCATTGGTAGATTCAATTCCTTTTGAATATCCATGGACATGAGGTTGAGTTCACTCCCAGTGTCCAGTAACATTTCTACTTTGAAGTTATTAATGTGTCCCACAACTTTTCCCGAAGCCATGGTTATGAATTGTTGCTGCATTGATATTTGTTCATCCTGTCGGAACTCCTTGGGGATTTCACTTAATTGTACCAAATAATCTTCTGTATTGTCTGTATCATATTCTTCATCTTCAAATGATATCCATCTTACTTCCCAATTCCCTAGTACTTCCTTGGTATCCACTAGTTTATGGTGTGACTTAGTTGCTTCCTGTACTCGTTTGGCCAATGTAATAGATGACCCTAATACATCCCTCATGGTTAAACTAACTGGTTGGCACATTATTTTCTCAAAGACATCCTCCATCTTGATGGATTCTTGGACATCAGCAGAATACTTGAATTGTTTGGCCATTCTTGGTTTCTTGACAGCATTTG